TACAGTTACATTAAATATAAAAATTTTACGTTAGTTTAATGGTGTGTTTACGTTCACGAGTAAAATCAGTAAAAAAAATATTTTACTATGTAATGCGAGAATACATCGCCAATAAATTAACGAACTTATTTATAGAGAGAGTAGTAGAGTTTTTCACAAATAAATTTTTTTTAGTACATACGTCAAATATTTCTCAAGATAAATACAAAGGAAACTCTTATAAATTATAATTCGGAATATAGATAAATATCACCGGTAAAAAAAAATATTTTATTATGTTATACGAGAATATATCGCTAATAAGTTAACGAACATCTTTATAGAGAGAGTAGTAGAGTTTTTCGCAAATAATTTTTTTTTAGTACATACGTCAAATATTTTTCAAGATAAATACAAAGGAAACTCTTATAAATTATCATTCGAAATATAGATAAATATCGCCGGTAAAAAAAAGTATTTTATTATTTGATACGAGAATACATCGCTAATAAGTTAACGAACCTGTTTATAGAAAGAGTAGTAGAGTTTTTCACAAATAAAAACTCTTTAGCATATACATTAAATATTTCTCAAGATAAATACAAAGTAAATTCATATAAATTATGCTTCAGGATATAGATAAATATTACCAAAATTCAAGACACACGAATATTATTTTTTTACGTTTTTCTATACACGATAAAATTCGTTAATTATTTTAATCTTTAGTTCAATTCGATTTTCTGCTTCCGAAAAGGATAGTGGAACCCTAGATTTAACAATTTGAGTTTTATAATGTTTTATTTAAATATAAGTGTTTAATATATGATTTAATTAAGTTAATTTTACCAATTAAAATATTATATATTGGGTAAAAATTATAAAAAGATATATACATATATATATATATATGTGTGTGTGTATATAATAATCTTAGGGTAATTGCAATTAATTCTATAAATTTCTGAGAAAAAAGTTGTGTTTTATTACTCATTAAAATTTGTTGTGTTACACAGAAATAAGCTGTTGAAATTGTCACAACATGAAACAAATTAAACAAAAATTATAATAACTAAATATATATATATATGTATGTATATATGTATTACAGAATCAGTCAATCCAAATATAATGAAAATCAACCCTACTTAGACCACAACCATTGCAACTCCTCCATGGGAATACCTTCTAAATTCATTCTATCATCGAACTCTCTATTTATCGACATAGCATGATTCGAGACCGAGACAGAACCTCCGACGAGATCCACACTACGATGGTGTTGATGTCGGTGATCGGAAACATTACCGGGCGCCATTCCGGCCTTGGCTTTCTTGTAAGAGTTCTTGGCCGAGAACGAACTCTCTTCCATCCATTTCACGCTAGCATCTTTGCCCGTAAGGCTTTGGACGACGGATTTGAAGCTCCTCAGATCAGTCTCGACGTAGTGAGTGTCTATCAACTTCACTTTAAACCCGTCCTGTCTCGCCATATCGATCGAGAAGACGAAGAAGATTTTTTTTTTTTCTGGTTCGTGGGTTTAAATGGTTTGAAAAAAAAAAGAGTTAGTGTTAAATAGGAGTAGAGAGGGTAGGAGGAGAAGGTCCGGAAGAATTATTGCTTGATGGTTAAGACAGAAGCAGTCTTGAAAGACTTTGAAGACTTTGGAAGTCAAGGCACACAAATTATGAATTGGGAAAAAGCTTCTTCTTAGGATTCCATTCACGTGGATAGAAAAAGATTATATTTAACTTTATATATATATATGTATATATATGTATATGTATGTATGTATGTATGTATNNNCTTCCTTGAAGAAATTAAGACCCAATTATGAGAAAAAACCAGCTAACGAACATCCTAATCTTTTGTTAACTAAGTGAGAATATTATAATTTTTTTGGTTAGCATCCGAACAATCTTTTATTTCGTAAAAAAAACCTTAGTTACTTTGTTATGCGAAGTTTAAAACTATTTTTCCGAATTTGATATATTATTTACAAAAATTTTAAAGAAGTTTCTTAAATAAAAACCAGTTTCAGAAACATTAAACCGATAAGAATAGACACGATCTTCTTAACACACTCGTTTAAGTGAAAGTGGAGTTTTCTTTTAAAGAACTTTAGCTCGTAAACTCGAAGTAAAGAAAGAAGATGATACAAAATTCCAGAAATAAGGAACAAACCAAGTAGAAATTGACAGACTACGCACGACGAAACACAAAAGTTGACGAAAAAGGGATGAACGCGTATTAGGAGCAAGGACAAGGTTCCCGAGATTTGCACGGGATCTTTAGATATAATACCATTTTAAATAATATATCGAATCAATTATTTTAAAAACGTAAATAAATAAGAACGAGTTAAAAAAATATAATATTTCTTTCTATTGCAGAAGTAATTCTGAGAAAGACATATCCTACAACCTCAGTCCAAGATCTTGGCTTTGCTAAAATCATTCTATAGCCATTACAGGAGCTTATTGATGTCTTACCCTCTGTCAGCCTGCTGAATCTGAGGCCAGTTTATTCTACTTGCACAGGGGACTTCCATAAAATCATGAGAGCAACAAAAGGCGAAGATTCTCTTTATAACCTGGATGCAGTGCGAGGACGGTCCCAATCTGTCAAGATGTGATTGCGAGTTATCTCTTTGAGTGAGCGACAACCGCTGAGTGTCATGGTTAGCTCAAACTCATCATGGAGCATTTGAAGAACTTTTCGAACACCAGCCTCACCAGCAGCTGCCAATGAGAAAACTACTGGCCTTCCAATCTGGAATTTGACACAATGAAATGGTAATACCAGAATGAGATTTTAACAGTACTATGCAACTTGATAGAAAGAATTACATAAAGATTGATGTGATCAAACTGTATTCTCCATAGAAGAAATGCTTGGATTTAGTTTTTGCAGTAATATACATCAATTAACAAACAAGAAACTTGGGAAAATGAAAGACTTCACTACCTCCCCAAACAAAGCTAAGATATTTCTGTATATATACACATTCTACAACATTGTTTGGTGCATAAGTTCAAAATAAGCTATATCTATACACACACACACACACACACATACACACACTAGATTCTTGTTTGGTGCATGAGTTCGAAATAAGCTATCGTTCCTTATTTTTTCAAACAATATACACTAAGTGCGGACACTTCCAGGTCCCAAAACAAAGCTAGATCTTGGGACTGCATCTGGGTCCGCGACAGCACCTGGGTCCTCAAACTGCATCTGAATCACAAAAGCACACCTAGGACCACATGCAAGTCCCAGGACAGTTCCCGAGTATTCTTGGAACAATATTTTATCTGCGGGTTTTACTTAATGGATTTTATATAAGATTACGGTAGGAAAACTTATTCCCAGACATGTTTTAAATTAACAAACATTTTAATGATTATTGCTCTGTTAACTTGTCTGTAGAAAGTTGTTAAACCATATAAACTGCAAATAAATGCTATCTATTGGTTATTTTCTTTGGATATTTTTGCACTTACAAAAACTCCTGATGCACCCAGAGCTAATGCCTTGAATACATCTGTTCCACGGCGAACCCCGCCATCAAGAAAAACAGGAATGCGTCCTTGTGCAGCTTTAACAACCTACATGTTAAGTCAATAAAATGAAATTGTTAAAGCACAATAGCAGAAGAAAGTTCTTTGAACAGCTGCAGCTTCCATAATTGGTTCCAGCATATACACAAATCAAGAAAATGGATAAAATGATAATTATAATAAACGAGACAATAGATGTTTTTATACTTTTAGAAATACCCAGCAGACATTTCCCTAAAGTTCATTGAAGGATAGGTTTAACATTGCAGACACCCAGGAACGAACTCTTAGCAGGAGAAATAATTAATATGAATGATGTCGCATATACATTAAGGAAGACAGTTTATGCTCTTGGTAATGATGATTAAAACGAATGAAGAACAAAATTGAGGCCCTCTGTGTGAAGAAAAGAAGTGACCGAATGGACAATATCAGCTAATAAAGCTTCATGCTAAATTAATGCTTTAAGATGTCTCTGCAAACAGACTTACCTCTTCCAAAGCCATAATAGTTGCAGGGACATAATCAAGCTGACGAGCTCCATGATTTGACACAATGATTCCTGCAGCTCCAGCTTCTACAGCTAGCCTTGCTAAAGAATAATCATTGGATAGTGGACAAATTAGAAAAGAATAATATCAGGAAACCCACAGACAAATGAATCACTAGAAAAAAGAATAAATTCTTCCTTCAGGAGGGAGTTTGTTTACCATCTTCAGCAGTAAGCACCCCCTTAACAAGAATTGGTAAATGAGTAATTGTTTGAAGCCATTTCAGATCCTGCTTGACATACAAACATTATTTTCGAGGCTTTCTTGTTTATAGTTTGAGCACAGTAAAGATTCAGATTAGGACCTTACCTTCCAGCTAAGTGATCGGTCAACTTGGCTAGCAACATATGAAGCTAGTCCAGAGTCATTGGTCTACAAGGTCAATTCACATATTCGATTATTTGAGAAGAAGTTACTACCATGAATCTCAAAATGGAAAATGAATCGCCTATCTAGATCACTGACCCTATCAATCTTCCCAAGATCCAAGCCCTCAAAGTTCTTCAGAATCAAATGTGGGGGCAAAACAAATCTGCAGGGGAATCAACTGAAGATTAAGGTCTTTCACTAACAAGCAGAGAAATATGCTAGTCAAAATAATGATGCATAAACATGAGTTAAATGGATTGATTCATTAGTGATTTCTTCTTGAAGAAAGCTGTAAACTTTATTTCATGGTTTTCTTCTAGACTATCACATTGTTTATAGGGTCAAATACCAAATCAGTATCCTTCAAAAACAGGACAGAAAACATACATATAAAAGATATAAGAAACTTTCCTCTATTCAAGATTCCAGTATCAAATCTAGACCTTATTTTTTCTCTTAAATTTTCTCTTAATATTTCTGCATATTTCTTCCCTAAAGATTTTGTCCTAATATTTCTGTACTCCCCCTCAAGCTAGATGTTGATCATGCCAAGCTTGGAGATCAAGTTCTCAAAGTTCTTTCTTGGTAAGGCCTTATCAGCGGGTCCGTTGTTTGTTGGTTGGATGAAATATTTACCACATTGATTATCCCTTATTTTACCTTCTCCTAGATTTTCTCCTATATTTCTGCATATTTCTTCTCCTAGGTTTTCTCCTAATATTTCTGCACTTGTTGTCATGTTTCCTAACATTGTTTACCTATTCTTGATATCGGCTTCCCTACGGCCAAGCCGTGGGGTATCCACAGTAAGGACAATTGCTTTGAATCCAGCCTTCTCAGCTCGCCGTACGAGCTGAATAACCACATTCCGATCTTTGAGCACCTGAATAAGAGACATATAACTATAGCTTATGCCAATAAAATATACAAAAACCAACAGAGCATAGAAGAATCAGGTGCTTATGGAACATTTATACCGGTGATGGAGCTTTAAAATAAAATACAATTTCTTTCCATTGGCTTTTCCAGATTATAAGAACCCCAAGGAGAAAAAAGAGAAGTTTCCGATAAAAATCAGGGGAAGAGTTTCATCTAATTATTTAAGTAGTCCAGAAAAATGTAAGGATTTTTTGTGGCAGACGCACTATTAAGTTCAAGAATTTTTTTTTTTGAAATATCATTTCAAGAAATTATTAAGCTCTTATGAAAATAAGTTCTCTCCATATAAAATTCTCTCACAGACCAAAATAATGCTAGAGAAAATCACAAAGTGAAAATGGAATTCGCATGACTCACGTAGAGTTGGAAGAAGCGAATGCCAGGTCCTGTGGAAGCAACCTCCTCAACACTGGAAGTACCCCATGATGATAGGGTCTAAGATTTAAAAAATGATCAATCAAAAGTTATACTGGCAGACCATGGGAAGGTTAAATGAAAAAGGACAGTAAAAAAAGAATATAAGTTAAATAATGAGGTCCAAACCATGATTGTTCCAGCTGCTGAAGCTGCTCTTGCAGTTGCAAATTCCCCTGCATAAGATACACCTCTGTTTCAATTCTTCTTTAACTTCTTTAAAGGAAACTTCAATGACTAAGGTGGAATATTTTCCCACTAAACAAACTAGAATAAGACATTAACATGCCAACTTTGTGGAATTGTTTCAACTCATACTTTTTACCATTTGAATTCATCAATTACTACCAAGAAAGCTCAGTGCCAAAGCTCTGAACAGTTTCAAATAGACCAGTTTAGAGGTGCGGACAAAACAAGTACTCCTTGCATGGCTTCGAAATTACAGATTTTAATTTGCAATTATCCCCAAAACCATCAAAGTTACATTGCTGGGGGATCCTTCCAGTGGCCACTAGAAGGCAATTAGAAGCAAATTGAGCCATGCCAAAACTCTCCCAGAAATCAGGTAAGATACTATCATTCATTGCAAGAAAATTTCACAGAAGTGCCAGATTGAGAATAACTCATTCAACCTATATATAACTTCTCAAAATTTGTTTATGACTGCACCCTGAGATATCTTCACTGAGAACTTAAGGCTAAAAAGAGCCGCAGATATCGTTCATTTGTGTATTTATTATGTCTTTGTGAGAATAAAGTAGGTTTAAGGAGATATATCAATGCAAGTTTAGATTTACTCTAGACACAAAAACATGAAATTAGAGGGGAATATACCATCAGGGTGTGCCATTTTCTGCATTGCTGTGGGAGCAATCATGATAGGCATTGAAATTTTGAAGCCCAAAACCACCGTGCTTATGTCAATGTTACTTACATCAATAAGTATACGGGGCCGAAACCTGTTTTCAACAAATTATATCCTTTTGAGAAGAAGAAATAGAAACCAATCCATTGTAAGTTTAACTGTAAATAGCAAAGGAGCTTACAAAATCCTAGAAAATGCATTTCTGTTCTCATTTAGAGTCCATTGGTCCTCTGCACCAGATGCGTAATAGTCATAAACCATCTTAGGCAGTTTCTGCTTTGCAATGACTTCATACTCCATAACATTTGTTATCTCCTCCATCCTTTCTAAGGGATTAATCCTATATGATACTCCAAAGTGTTCTGGATATAATAAAGAAAGAAAGGAGTAAAGTTCACACCAAAAGTTAACACCAATTACTTGGTAAGTATGTTTTAGAATTTAACAGTTTCTTCCCAACATCCACCAAAACACTTGAAACAGGATCTGCTTGACTGTGAAATATAGAAGTAGAAAATGAGACGCAGAAAGCACAATCGGAGACAGTCCATCAAGAAGAATCAGATTTAAAGACAGTACAAAAGTAGAAAAAGGAAACGAATATATCTGATGGTGAATTTATAAAATCAGAAGCCTAAAAGACACACCAGAAGCAAAAATTATGTTCAAGAAAAATCATCTGCCACCGCCACATTACGAGAAGCATTTAACTAGTCAAGTGGGTCTAAAAATTCCTTGCACTTGAAATCGCAAGGAACTTGGACAGTGATCGCATAAGATGTCAACTCCAGTAAATAAACTCAATCAAACAATCTCACAGGATTCTAGATTATTGTCTTATAAAAGCTGTAGCATCTACAAAACCAAATCTACTACGTCTGATAACAACTATTCCGATTAAGTTCTGAAATGGGCCTTGCATGCAGTATATAAATAACAACAAACCTCATTAAAGCAAAACATGACTGGAAACTGGAAATTTACAGAGTTCTATCAAATTCCAACATAGAAAAGTGGCAACCGGACAATCGGCAGTACTGTTGAATGCTATAACAAAAATAATAGAACCCGGAAACGAGTTCGAAACCCAGCGCACCTCTCCTATGAACTGAAGATCATATGAATATCAAGTCTCACAGAATACCCAGATTAAAATAATGTAAAAACAACGAAAGTAAATATCGTATGATAAGAAGAAACAAGATCAATCACCTGGGTTAGAAGACGCTGTATCCCAGAGAGAGAGACAGAGAGAGAGAGAATGAGAGAATGAGAGTTATTAGTACAAGCAGAAAAGAGAAAGCAAAGAACAGACCTTACCTCCTTTACCAAAAAAAAAAAATGGCGAGATCGTAGGGAAGAGAAGACCGAAAATTTTGACAGAGAGAGAGAGAGAGAGAGAGAGAGAGAGCAATGGGAAAGGACAAAGTTTTAGTTTTTATGTTCCATGAAAATGAGAGACGTGCGCAGACCGTTCTGCTCTACCATCATTCATCTCGCTTACTGAAACTCAATAAATTTACTATTCATTCACCATACCAAGATGGTAATTTTCTTGGGGGGGTTAATTATAATTAAAGGAGTGTTTGGTCAATTACAATAAAATGAGTGTTATAGTGATTTGTGAATAAAATTACCCGAAAACCCTAAGACTCGCCAAAACTAAACTCAGCACATTCAAATTTTTTTGATTTATAACTAAAATCAAGTCTGTCGTGACTAAATTGAATTTTTTTACTTTGTTTTCGTATTGAAGCAAATATGTCTATGTTAGTTTATTTTTAAAACAAATAGAAATTGTAATATACATAATATATGATATGCACAATCATAATATGCACAAGTACGGATTTATTTTCGGAATAAATTGTAATATATACAATATGTGCAAATTAATGTACAACATTAGTGGCACAGATAATATTCTATAATTTTTTTATGTTGGCAAAGTTCGATATGAATCTTTTGCATAAATTTTTTTTTATAGAATTTTTTATTTTAGTTTTTATTTAGAGTTAATTTTTAAATAGTTAGAATAATGTGGAGTTAAAGATCGGATCAGACATGCACAGTCAGTGATTGTTAAAATGGTTGTAATTAATTAGTTGAGTTTGTTTAGATTAATTTTTAGTTAATCAGCATTAGAGTAGTTAATTGACATTAGACTCTGTATATAAATACTCAATTTTTCATTAATGAAAACAAGCTATTTGTTTATCAAATTTTTTTTAGATTTACGGAGAAAATCTTCACTATTTTTCTTCAATTTCGGGATGATTTCAAGCTTTACCATAGAATTTATAAAACTGTTGACAACCAAAATTAAATAGATTTAATCTAGTTAATCATTTAAAACTATTTATAGAATGACAATAGATAAACAAATAGATAAAATTTTACTTCGACATATTGCAACCAAAGTTATAATATACACAAATTGGAATGAGTCTCATTAATTCACGTTGAGGTAATTTTGAGTCTAAATAAATTTATCGAATCAATTGAGGAATAATTCCAATTAACACGTTATACTAGTTAAATAGTTCTCGATGAGTAAATAGATTAACAAGATTCGATCTATATATATAGTTTTTTTTTTTATTTTTGACTATTCTAAAAGGTCCAAATCTTAAAAAAAAAAGTAAATAGAAACGATGAACATAAACAATTTTTTTTAATTAAATTATGTATAAGGTTCGTATCAAACTTTACTAAAATCGTGAATTATGGTCGATATTATCCATGAGATTGATGGTGTATGTACATTAATTTATTTTTTAAAACAAAATATTTATTTACATTATGCATTCATTCATGATTCCAATAAATAAAACGGGAGGGAGTTTTGTCATAGACAAAAAAAATTCACAATAAGAATCCCATAAAGCAAAGAACAAAACCAGCCGTACTTGAGAGGATCAGATTTGTGCATATACATACAGCACCAGTACTACTTGAACTTGTCCTGCCATGGTGCCAAGATGGTTGTGTGTCTTTAGAATGTTCCTGATGCTGACCCTCTTGTGGGTAACTTGTGTTAATCTCACCAATTCCCTTGCCCATGCAAGGTGGTAATGTTTGTGGATAATTATGAGAATTAGTGTAATTGATCTTGCTATACAAATCATTGCTTGTACAAATCCCATAATTTCCTCTCAAATCCAGCCTGTTTCCTAGCTTGATAATGAAAATTTCTGGTAATAAGAGCTTCCCACTTAGCTGATTATGGCTCAGATTTAGCTGGTTCAAGTTTGGAAGTAACGCTAAATTTGTAGGGATTGACCCAGTGAGGCTGTTGTTGGCTAGAGATAGAGCAGTGAGATTGTTCAATGAGGAGAATAACGAGCTGGGAATTGGACCTTTCAACCCACATCCTGATAAGCTGATTGATGTTAGGTTATTTAGGTTAGAAACAAACAAGGGTATAGGAGAATTGATTGGATTATGATCAAGTAATAAGTACTGAAGCTGTTGTAAGCCTGATAGGGTTTCAGGAATAGGACCAGGGATATAATTGTGGCTTAAATCAAGCAAAACCAACCTGTTTAGCTTCCCTAAATCTGGAGGTATCAGTCTGGAAAGCTTGTTGAATCTCAAGTCAATCTTCTGTAGATGTTGAAGCTGACCCAAAGAAGAAGGCAACTGTCCTCGAAGATTATTCCAGCTTAAATCTAAAATTTCAAGACTTGTCAACCCACTTATCTCTCTTGGGATTTCACCATCAAGATTGTTGTCGCTCAAGTCGAGTTGCTCTAAACTGATCATTTTCTCAAGATCATTAGGGATAGGTCCTTGTAGATTGTTCTGAGACAGGCTAAGAACTCTCAGGCCACTAATATTTGTCAAGCTTGAAGGGATATGTCCAGATAGAGAAGGGTTTGATTGGAGAGACAGGTGTTCTAGAGAAGAAAGTGAAGCAAACAGAGTTTGAGAAAGAGTGACTGGTGATGTTAAAAAACAGTTGAAAACAGAAAGGGTTTTCAAGAAACGAAGTTGGGGTAATGAATCAGATAGATTTGCAGAGAATTTGCAAGGTGGGTTTATAACATCAGGGCCAATGTGAATCTTGGTGACATGGAAGATTGGAGGGTTTTCTTGACCAATCTCACATTCAATGCCAGGCCATGGAGTTTCACTGCATGGTTGTGGGTGCATTTGAGCCCACTCAGGATCTTCTAGAAACGAACCCATTACTTCGAAAACCCCTAAAAGCTCTTCTTCCTCCATCTCCATCGTCATATCCCTCACCTCCTCTAACTTTCTCTCTACCGCAATCAGCTCTCCGGCCAAGATTAGGAACACAACAAGGTAAAAACAATGAGAACCCATGGTGATGAATGAGACGAGAGCGAAAACCCAGTAGAAACAAGAATCAAAGGGTTATGAAAACAAGTCTGAGAAAAGATGAACTCTAAAGCAGTAGTAAAACGTAAAATAAAGTGGAGTTCGCCATTTTTGTTAATTAAAAACTAAAGTTATAACATGTATCAGTTGGCAGGAGTTTATAAGTTCATGTCATGCAGATACAGCTTAACTTTTTGTGGTGTCTCAGTACTTTATAGAGTGTAAGCTTATAAGGCTGCATGCATAAAAAAGCTTAAGTTTTGTCTGGTTTTAGATTACTTGACAGAATCCAAGTTAGAGACAGATATATATATATATACACATACAAGTGTAAGTTTTTGCATGGTAAAGAAAGACAGAGATAGTAACTATAACTAGTAATTTTTGTCGGACTGGTCAAAAGGGTATCGAATTGTAGACATGATGGGACGTGGCTCTTCCTCAGTATATCGTCTATGAAGTCGACGTTTCATAGCTTTGCTTTTTCAGAGTTACAATCTCTATATCTATCTCCTGGGATTGGCTCACGCCACCCTACTCAAAACTAAAGCTGTGGTTTTCTACTATAAGTTTTTTTTTTTTTTTTGGCTCTTCGTCTCTTCTTTCGTAGTTTTACTTGTCATCAATCATTTACCTGTTAATTATTAACCTAAGAATATATTGTAAGTTAATAATAATAAAAAAAAACCATATATACATCTTTTTAAATTAGTAAAATATGTATAGTTTTTCAAAACAAGATTGTTTAACCAAACCACATGAAAAAATATATATATATGTATATATATTTATATATTGTTGGAATTTTTTTATGAAAAAAATTTTAATTTTTATTGAATTCAATCAACACACAAAAATTAATAATATGAAGTGTCTTTTAATAAGTTTACATTAAATTCAAATTATTTAAAATAATTTAACATAATTTAAAAAATAAATATCAATCAAATTTTTTAATCCTGTATTTAGTTGATTTTTTTTATGAATAATGAACATATGATAAGATTTAATAATTATACAATATGACAATTAAAAAGTTATACTATATTTAGTAGCAATTTTATTTGAATTAATAGAATGATATAATTGTATATTCATTTAAATTATTAATTTATTCATATCTTATTATATATAATATTAAATAAAAAATTATTTAACTTATAATTAAATTATTTAATTTATAAAATTATTCAAACTGTAATTTTTAAAAAAATATTAAAAAATAAATTTATTATAAAAAATAAAAAATTATTTTTTTTAATACTTAATATAAAGAAAAAAAATAGATTTAAAGATAAAATAAAAATTAACAAATAATTATGAGAATAAAACAAAAAGAAAAATATTCAACTATTAAAAATCACCGTAGTTTGAAAAGTCTGAAAAAAATTAAAAAATAATCTACCACTAAAAACAACACAACCCTCGTATCATCTATTTGGAATTGATTCAAACAAAACATAAAAGATAAATTTTTAACATAATATTTAAAAAATAAACATATTTTAAATTTAATTAAGATAAATTTTATTTGGATTAAAACTAATAAATAAAATGAATTTAATTTCTACATTAATTTTTAACATATACATTATAATCATCTTATGTGTTTTGTTTTTGATTATTTAATTTAAATGAAAATGAAAAATTGTTAGCAAACATTAGCCATTTGATTTAAAAAGAAAAGCAACTTCCACAACTCATAATGAAAGTTTATTGATTCAAAAAATTACCAATGTTATAGTATTTCATAATTGGTTATACTCTCTTGATTTATTCTTAACAAAAATTAAAAATATATTATTAATTTATTATATTAAGTTTTAAAAAATTTATGCTATAGATTGAATATTTTAATTAAAATTAAAAATACATTATGCATACCCCAAATGAAAATATATATTGTATATTTTTTTAATTTTAAAATTAAAAAATATATGCTATATAGTTTTACTTGGAATAAAAAAAAATATATATGCTACATACTACTTGATTGGATTTGAACAATTTTTTTACTCCAAACAAATTCCTGACTTGGTTCTAATAGAAATTACCTGCCTCAGAGAAAAAATCAAGGACTGTGTTTAGATTGATCATTCCTGCCTCCCTCACTTGTAACACGAGATGATTCAGAGCGAACTCTGCTTAATAAACTCGGCAATTTATGTGCTTGCATGTATTTCATATGCTCAAAAGCAAGAAAGCAAATAAAAGCATCATTCTTTTCATCCCCTGGTTCAAATATATTGCAAAGCTCTACCATCCATGATCTTCATGAGAGATAATGAGAAAAATTTACCTGTAAACTTTTGGATTTGCTTGGTGCAAATGTGTATAACTGATCAATCGGAGAAGTCAATATCAGCAATTTTTGCACCACGTTGTATCCGTCTCAACGAATGAAACCTTTTTAGACGAACTCCAAAGTAATCTGCCTTCCTATCCTTTCTTCTTTGTGTTTCTAGCTTAGTTAATTTCCCACTTTCGATGTACAATTTTCTTCGGACAGCTAGAGCTTGACTGCCTCCCTTCTTATTTTCATGTTTGCAGTGTAACTTTTTTGCTGGTTGGCTTGCTTTACAAAGGCAGCCAAAATAGTATATAGGATCAACATAACAAGATGATGAAGAGACAATGCCTTTCATATTGTTTGGTTGGACAAGTCCTATAAATGATTGTATCTCCGCAAAGCATGAATGATCCGAATATGGAACTGAAAATATGTACTTATGAAACTTTTTCACCAACCCTAAGTTTCCATTCAGATTTCCCATTTGTATCTCACCACTTTTACTGTTTTGGTGAGTCAAAGGAGAACCAAAATGTTTGTCATCACATTCAATGGGTTTCACCGTCCAGGGAAGACCAGATGGCATGATTCCTATAGTTGGGCATATTGAGTTTAACCCCTCCAAAGTATTAATGCTAAAACTGTAACGAGGAACTGCTCGCACTCTAGTAAGATCAGTTTTGGTTGTGAAGACATCATTTAACCCAAGAAGATGCATGGTTTGCAGGCGTTCGGGCCACACCCAAATCTGTAGACCGGAAATCAAGAAGAAGAGAGCTATCAACAAACAAAAATTGGCCCTTTGAGTTACAGTAACTTATTTCTCAGGAGGTAAGAAAAAATAGATATCAATAGCCAATATACAATTTCAGCTGCACATAAACGGGAAAAGAGCTGCAGAATATAACTAACAAAGAGTCAGATGAATACATCAATATAATAAATGAATATACAATCAACTAAATATTTGTAGGGTAACAATCAACTAATATTAAAAATAACTGATGATATAAGTATTGGTATAAATGGGTGGAATACACGGGTGTTTATGATGTGCCTACCTAAAATTAAATTTTCAAACTCAAACCCATTATGAGAAGACGAAATAAATATAAAAACTAAAACTGGCAGAAAGCAACTGCTTCAAATATAAGACAGTAAACAGCCTATCCTTATTTTTCTGATCTTACTCCCTTTCCATACACAATGTATCTGTTAAACTAAAAACCTAAGACATTTACACGTGTTTCCCAGTTGTGGTTACAGTGACAACATTAACACTCCTACTGACCAAGGATCCTGTTGAAATTTACACACTAAGGTAAGTTATTCATTATCAATATATTCTTTCAATAAGTTATCCCGTTAACAAAGTATAGACGAAATGCAGAGGTAAAAAGGAAGGAAATAATTGTAACTGATATCGCTTCTGTTTTATGAACTTAACATGAAGTGTTAACTAAATCTGCCAATTATAAGTTTCTTCACAAAGACATCTGGATGATCAGCACACAAGTTTTAGGTTTTTTCTTAATAGAGGAGTAGACCTTTATATTGAGCGCACGTGCAATGTGAACTAATAACTCTTCTTTCCCCAAATCATGAATCCCAATTATTATGTCATGCTCTGGATGGGCAGCAATTATATCAGCAACCTGTAATCAATTCAAAACCATTAAAGAAAAACTTGTAAATGTCTTTGATGGAAGTACTACGACACTACGTTAAAAAGGATATCCACAGAACGAGTCTAGTTTAAGGAACCTAATAATGCTAGGAAATATAATACTGAAACACACACAATTGATGTAGAAATGAAAAAACAAGAGAAGACACAGAATTATTTACTTGGATTAATAATGTACCTACATTTGCAGGGCCACCTGATATTCTGTTTCACTATGAAGAATGAAAAGAACATCTTCATTCTATAAGGATTAGTGTTTTGAATTACACGAAATAATTCAAAAAAAAAAAAAAAATTGTCAAAATCAAGGAAACCACCCATAGGAATAACCACCCTCCACTAACAAAGCCAACAATTTTTACATGTGTGTCTCTTTATAAGAGAGTAAAGATGAATAGAAATGTCCGTGTCCAGAAGTGCATACTTTTGCTCTCATACTAAACATGAAGGGATAAGTAAAATCATGTAAACTACATTTTTAATTAGATTGTTTTCTTTCTCTCTTCCAAACGTCCAATATGTTTGCTGCAATAGATGCATTATGTTTCTAAAATTTAAACTTGTTACATGCACTGGTTATTCCATTGCATTACATGTCTTACAAAGAAACACGTTTGAATTAACTTCTTAAAGAGTGTTTTCCTTTTTTCTCTAAGTCCTAATCTGCATATTTTTCTCATAAACAAACACCAGATAATTTGTCATCCTATTGAGAGATTTATCTCTTCCCTGTTCTTACATGATGCGTGTAATTGTATCACTTACTAATGTTTCTAAACATGATATGATTTGTTCCTTGACAAAGATGAGCACTATAACACTTTGTTCCCTGGCTATTCCTCAAACACGCAAACCTTCAATACTGGCATCTGGCGAAAGTTCATTAATAGTTAGTGTAAAGCATGCTTGTTTCTCGCTAATCCCAAAAATTGGTTTCCAACAGTTTAGCATCAGTGAAATGTTTTGCTTCTTCAAAAAGGGACCATGGCTATCTTGAGAAATTTTCGGTGCTTATTTTTGCATGTGGTAACTAGTAAAGGATCTATAAGCTCAAAAGACAGTGACAGTGTACCAGCTGAGCAGCCACTTCTCGAGAAGGAAATTCATATGATGGATTACAGTAGGTGTTATCCAAGTAAAGAACATCCACAGCATTGTCCTGTAGAGCATTGAGGAGAGTTGCCCGCGCTCTTTCTGCTCTCTTTGAGGTTCCTTCCCAGCGGAAATCACCCGTGTACAACAGACATCCAAAATCTCCACGGAATAAGAACATAACTGAACCTGTCGGATGATAAAATCATCAACAGCTAGACAAGAATTCTCAAATAGGATAAAGACGCAATTGAACATCAAAACCACGAATTAGGAGTAGATTCCCTGTTTCCAGTCATCAACCGTGAAATTAACACAACTATAGGCAACGTATACAGAAATTATTAATTAAAAAAGAAAGTTAGTGGAAAAAGAAGAAACATAAAACGGAAAGAGCTAACAAAAGTTAGGTAGAAAGCAGAAGAAAATGGAAATACCGGGACAATGGTGAGCATCAATGGCCATGACATGCAGAACAGTGTTGGATCCGGAAGAAGGAGAGATAAGAGAGAAGCTATGCCAGGATTCGACATCGATGACGCGGAGCAAAGAGAGGTCAAAGCCAGGGAACCGGAGAGGGAAAAGTTTCGCGGTGATGCGAGAGCAGAAGAGCGGGCCCTTGGACCAGGACGAGGTGAGGCCACGAGTGTGATCCGAGTGCAGGTGTGTCAGGAAGTAAGCTTGGCTGCCGTCCGACCACCGGTCAACTGATATCAGCCCTCTCTCCATTAAAACCAGAAGAGAGCAGTTTTTTCTGAATGCTAATTTTGGCGGGCAATTGAATTGGAATTTGGGGTTTTATAGGAGTTTTGTGTTGCGGTGAGAATCCGGAAAGAAGACAGCACATACGACGTCGTTTCCTGTCACTGTATGGTTAAATTCTAATAATGATTACTTTTATTTTTGCAATATAATTTATATATATATATAATAATGATCTATTAATTTCCATAAATATGGAGGAAGAAAAAGAAGACAAAAGAAAAATAATTCGTCGACAGCAGGGTTCGAACCTGCGCGGGCGAAGCCCAACAGATTTCAAGTCTGTCTCCTTAACCACTCGGACATATCGACTTGTTGCTTTGTTGCTCGTAATTTCGATTATAACGTAATTTGATTTTAATGAAACTATATAGACTATACAAAATACATGTATGTTCTCTATTACAAATAATACATGATAAAGAATACATGGATGATGAGTTAAAAAATATAACACTTTGTGAAAGAGAAAACTTGTTACAACAATGGCTTCTCGACTTCACATAAACTTGATTGTTTCGAAGTCCGATCAAAATATTGCTTTGTCGTTGAACCATATTACATCAAGCCATGATACCAGCTTCTACATTGTATCATTACAAGCCAAAATCTCTAGAAGCTGTGGAGAAGTCTGTTTGCTAGAAATCCCAGGCGCTAGTTCCAAGGCCAAGGCCATAAATCAACAAATCTCCAAGTTACGATTTTATCTGTAACAATCAGAAATTCATCCCCTTTTGATGCAGACTACAGAGAACATTTAGTTAGAAACCAGTACTCATCTTCGGAATCACCAGGACAGATTCAATCATATATGTTCAAAATGGTCTGGATTGAAGATCTCAATCTGTAATGTCAAAGCAGAGCTTCGCTTCATCCCAAGGTCCATTGATCTCAAACTTGTATTCTTGAATCCTTATCAGCCAGTAAGGGCACACCAAATTCACAAAAATCAATAGACCTAACAATAGCACAAAGAGTAACCGATGCAGTGCATATACAGACACCAGAGTTACCCCCATCAATGCAAAAGAAAGCAAAAAGTGCAAGCACTTAGAATATTTTTTAATACAATAAGTGACTAACGGAGCGAAAAGGAAGACTTGCAAGGAGAACAGCATTACAGCAAATACGTGCAGTCTGGAGGGAAGGCGAGAAGCAATGAAAACAGATGCCACCACAGAAGCATTTAAAGAAATACAACTAGTCAAGTTGGGATTTTTCAGAGCTCCAGGAGCTCTAATGGTGGATCCTGAGTAGTCATGCAAGAAGAGATGGAGTATGAGAAGAGAAATGGTTAATGCCCATATTGAGTCAGAGCTTATGGACCTTGTCAAGGTTTGGTAGATAGGAGCTAAAACATACAACGCCGAGGCAAAAAAATAGATGTTCACGACATAATGCAAAAGAAGACTAAGAGAAAGCATGTCTTCAGTAAATAGAAGAACGAGGAAACCCAATGCAAGGAGGCTCACATCAAGAAGCAAGAGGGACTTCTCATCAAGTGTGGATGTAAGGGTGTAGATCCAAACCAAGACAATAAGAGTGACAATGCACAGATACTGAGATATGGAAACTGAGTCTTGCATCACCTTCAACATGTCTCGTTTCACAACATTAGCATTCATTACCATCTCTTCAAGGAAAGACTCATCAGTGTGGTTGTCATCAAACCCAGGCTGCATTCCTCCATATGCCACTTTTCTCCACTTAGATCGAGTAGGAGAAGAATTTCCACTGATGCTAGAATCCATCCCAATTTCCCTGGTTTTACCAAATTTTTTGTTTTAGTGACGATTTAATTTATGCTTCATGTGTAAGCCCCATTCACAAAGAGTTTCTTGCTAGGCAATATACAAGCAGAAACGACTTATTTGACCGAGGAAACTTCTTCAACTCCAAAACGTGCACCAGTCTTTAATAAACAATCTGTGTCAAAGGAAAACAAAGTGTGAAGGCGTTAGGCAGCCACCTTCGATAGGCTAATTAACTATATCTTGGATTTTGTATGCTTCTTTTCATGTTTTAATCCAAGTGCAAGTGTGTGAATATCTTGTAATTATAAAATTGAAGTGAGAGAAACCATAAAAAAACTCTCATTGTGCTAAAAAGCAAGCACGGGGTATGTGTAAAGAAAAAAGTAAGTTATTATGATTAATCCAAGCTCAAAGACCCCTTTCTAATGCCACATTGACACCCAGGCATAATTCCATTATGATGATTCTAGAGAAGCTTATCCATATACTTTGATGCAATGATAATCATGCAAAGATCATTCCCAGCAGACTGTACGCAGTTCAATCAAAAGAGACAGCAATACGACTAATGAAATCATAACTTTATTTTGTTTTCATTTTTTAATTTCAATTTTGTTCTTCTTTAAAAGAAATTAAAATTAAATGAAAATGAGAGTCAGCACTAATCCAATTGGCGGCAAAGTCAAATTGTAAAATTTGATACTGGTCAAAATTCAAAGGTTAGCACCAAAATATTACGAGAAAGAAAGGTGTTAGGCATCCACCTTGTGGTATAAGCTAATTTGTATGCATCATTTCTTCCGTATTTAGGTGCCAGCCTCTGAATTTGGCATCCATACCATAAATTTCAATTAAACTGTGGAAATACAAATCACTACTGGAAATGCAAGTCAAGGACATGAAATGGGAGATTAAACTAAAAATGTTTTATTGGTCTCGTTCCTAGCTACCTTCTTTTGCATGGTTAGATTTCAAGGTTGTCTGTGCTCTTAGTGGGACAAAATAAATAGGAAAAAAATTATAATGTCGAGATCATGACTTACTATCTTTTCCAAGGTCACTACCATATCTGACGATCTCTTCTTCACTTATTTCAATCTCAAAAAGGGATAGCAAAGCCACTGTAAATCAAGAACCCCCATATCAAACTATGAAGTTTATTTCTTTGCCACAGCTGATAAAAATTGTCTTTTGGACCAACCATTTTATCTTTTCAGATTAGAAAAGAGACTTTAACAACCATCTTAAACCAGAAAATGAACCAAACACATGCATGTGATAAAAGCAGATCCAATGCTAAGGCTGATCATCAAGTTACTTGGTAAACTTTTTCAACATAAGGCATCGGTTCAAGTTTTAACATACTCATCCAATCATATTGCAGAGATAGAAAAGAGAATAGACACTCAACATGCTTTCAATCAAATCCTAACATGTTTCCATTTTCCTGCTAAGTTTCATCTTAACAAACTAACATCCAGTTCTTTAATCTACTTCTAATTTTCATGAAGGCTAAGACATTTTATTGCTTAAAACCAGCTAAGTGTTCATCATCAAGATAACTCCAACATCCATTTGAAGATTCTATTCATATGTCAGTGTCCATTTAGATACAATAACAGATAGAAAACCGAGGCTAAAACAGCTAACAATAAACTGCATGAAACAACCTTGAAATTCTTATCCGAGATTCCTTCAAGGTGGTTTATTCCATCACATACTGAATCATACACACCCAACAACCATCATGCAACAGAGTGCAAGCATGTCTCCTTTTCGGCTTTTATGAATTTTTCTCATTCAAATAGACACAGATTCTATCAAGCAACGTTCAACACCTAGTTGCATCGTAAATAACAATATTTGTAAATGAACATTTGGAAGACTTACCCTAGTTTTTCAATTAAAAATTTTAATTCACTAAAAGGATCTACATGTTCCTCCCAACATTTTCAAAACGAGGATTAGAATTCAAGATAAAAAGGAGAAGATTAGGGTATACCACGCTGAACCAGGCTCCCACGGTCGCCTCTTCCTTACTTCCAGTTCTGAAGCTCGGCCTCTACTGTTGGTCACCAAACCAGAGTAGATATTCCTCTCCTCAAGTTTCTCTTCCGCCTCTCTCCCTCGGTATCTTCTTTTTCTTTTTCTCCTTGTTTCTCACTCTCTCTTTCTGTTCGATCTCACTCTCTTCAAATTCGATTTCCTCCCTCTCCCTCGTCTCTGTTTCACTGTCAGCCCTCCCTTCTCTCCGTTTTCTCGGCTTTCTTGTTCTCTTTCTCCCAGTTTTTTCTTCTCAGCCCTCACTCCGTCTTGGTCTGTCACTCTGTTTTCACTCTTTTCATCTCCTTCTTTTCTCCCTTTATTCACGTTATCTCCTGCTCTTTATGCTCATCATCGTCACGTCGCCATAACCAACTGGCTTCTCCTCTCCTCTCCTCGCTTCTGTCATTCCCGATGGTCAGAGAAGAGAAAAACTTCCTCCCGAAACGGTGTCGTTTGGAGAAGCATAATTGTTGGGATTAGTTCTTAGATTGCGTTTTAATTTGCGTTTAGAAATTGGGTTTGGTCTGTTTAATATCTAAAAAGGGTTTAGGACTTAATTTCTTTTTTTTAATTTTAAAAAGTTAAAAATTAAAATTTTGTATAAAAAAATGAATCTACCTCGTAAAATAATAATAACAACAACAAGAATAATACGAACTTATTATTAATTTTATAAATTTATTTGTAACGAAGAAAATAATCAGTTTAGATAAAATTAAAATATTATAATCTTTATTTCAAATTAAAAATTATAAGGTGAATTTCGATTAACTCAATATACAAATAAAAATAATTATTCTCGAATTTCGTGGCTATCACTTGATTACATTCAATAACTACAATTATTCTCATATCTCCTTTCTTGAATTGGATTGGGATCGACACTTCTTCTCGCACAAGACTTCATATGGAGTCATTCGGATACTTATTTGATAAATATTATTATAAACAAATTCGACTGAAATTTTTAAAAAATATTTTTTTTTATAACTACTGATATATCAGATATAAGATTTATCGCAAACTTTGTAAGTTAGTTTATGAATACTTTAAGTAAATAACAGTTAAAAGGTAATCAATTAAATCCTACAATATTTTAACATGACACCGGTTAACCGTTATTTTTTAAAACAAAACTACGAGAATAGATATAGAAATTTTTATCATTTTTTACTAAACAGGGCTAGTCACATATAAGAGATCAACTTTTTCGTACTATTTATATATACGAAGGAATCTAGTGATAGACAAAGAAAATATATAGAAATTTTCATTTATGTACATGTAAAACTACAAAAATAGATGTAGAAATTTTCATTAATTTTGACTAAGCTGGACCAGTCACATATAAAAGATCAACTTCTTAGTACTATTTATATGTACGAAGGAATCTAGTGATAGACAAAGTAAGAAATAACTAGTGGTAACTAAAAGTATTATTGAGATAAAATTCAGAGTCGTAAGACAAAAATTTTATGAAAGAATGTGATTATTAAGTATATTTAAAGAATTACGAATTGAGAATTCTACTCCAGTAAAAGTGATGCGTGACAATCTATCCGTAATCGGTATTATAAAAAATTCAGTTCATTATAATCAACAAAACATGTATAGATAGATTTATATCTCATAAAGAAGAAGATAAAATAAGAAATAATTCAATTTTAAAGAATATAATATTAAACCGGACACGATTAACACCTATATATAACCTGAGAAGAAATGTAAAATAAGTAAGAGAAGATCTACGACAAAAAAATAAGATCTAATTATGATTTTAGAATCTTACGACTTATAATTTTTTTAATATATTTAAAAATATATTTTTTGAATAATTATTTTCTTGTTTTTGATAAATACAAATTTAGTATCCAAACTCTTATATCGTAGAAGAATTAGAAGCGTGAATGAGTTTTAGAATTCAAAATTATTTCATTATAAATTAAAATAAAATTACAAAAATGTAGAGAGAAATCCTCCGTATTGCTGGCTTACCTTATCCAAAACAACAATATTGGATAGAGCAACCATGGCGATTACTGGGCTTAGCTCTCTTCCTCGTCTTCGTCTACATTACCTTTCCTCCTCTTCAACTTCTTCGCCGACTGCTACTTGCAGTACTTTCACCAAGCGAAGAGCCTTGGTTTTAGGTACGGGTCTTGTGGCGGTGCCTTCTTTACTCAATTCAAAGCTATTTCTATTTGACTACTCCGCGATTGCGCTGCAACAAAACCGAGATGATGAACTCCAACAAGAAGAGGATAGAATTGTTAACATTTTCCAGGTTCTCTCTTTCTTTTCTTCGGTAATTGTTGATATAGTTAGCGCGTTACAATTTGCTTGGTTAATCTTAGTAGCCGGTTTTATGCTCTAGGCACTAATCATCGGCAATTTGGCTTGTTATTTAGGTTGCTTTTGCTACAAAATTAGATAAATAGTCAATTGCAGTTGAATCTCCGATGGAATCGAATATAAATATACATATATATATGTGTGTGTGTGTGTGTGTGTGTTGTATTTCACTTTTTATCTCGTGGTTCCAGGTTCTTTTTTTTCTTTTCTTCGGTAATCATTGTCATAGGTAGCTTGTTACAATTTGCTTGGTTAATCTTAGTAACCGGTTTTGTGCTCTGAGTACTAATCATCGGCAATTTGGATTGTTATTTAGCTTGATTTTGCTACAAAATTACATAAATAGTCAATTGCAGTTGAATCTCTGATAGAATCGAATATAAATATACATATATTTGTATATGTATTGTATTTCACTTTTGATGTATTCTTGAGAATGTTCACAAGAAATCACTACATTCTCCGGAATACCGTATGATTAGCATAAAAAAACTAGAAGAAAAAATGTTTTTAGCTGGTTAATATACATATATATATGTATATATTATTATTATCATTAGTTTTGTTGTAGCATAATCCTTCCTGTATGTAACCATGATTCAATTACCATAATTTCTAGAAATCATGCAATTAATATTTTGTAGTTTCTTTTTCTAGGTGTTTCACTTTTTTGTTTTTCTTTAAGTGGTTTTTTCTCTGTTAATATTATAATCTTCTCTTCTGGTGCTTGATGAATAAGTCTATTTAGTAGTTCTTTTTTAAGTTTTTGACTTACTACAGGAAACTTCGCCATCGGTTGTTTTTATTAAAGATATTGAGTTAGCCAAAATACCAAAGAGCTCATCTGATGAAATCATGCTTAATGACAATGCTAATGGCAAAGTAGAAGGAACTGGGTCAGGCTTTATTTGGGATAAGCTTGGTCACATTGTAGGTATTCCTCTACTAATATACATTATCTTTTCTTCTTGGTTATTTATGTCTGCAAGATATCTTTCTATGTACTGTGGAAGAAAGATTTTTGGAAGTTGCAAAAACACTTTTTTTTAGCTATTTAGCTTTAGAAGTTTACCGGTGGAGGAAATATTTTTGAAAGTTGGGAAAACATTTCCAAGAACAGATAAATAACTTGTGTTATTCCTTTCCTTTCAAGTCAGTAACTTCTGAAAGATTTTGCGTTGGCCATGATCTTTTCACATTTGGAAAATTTCATTTATTGTTGTAAAGTTTCAACATTCCTGAAAGGCATACTATATATATGGATCCTAACGATTGTTTTTACCAGCGATAAGATGTTAATGAAACATTCATTTATTCCTGTTTCAAACACTGTATTTTAACTTCGAGGTCTGCATAAACTGAGTGCATTGTTGACTTTATGCAAAAGTTACCAGCCAGCAACTGGCCTAGAAGTAGTCAAAAGGTTTTCTTCTCCTTTTTTTTTCTTCTTTCACACAGAAGGTTGTCTCTTATGTCTGACAGGTCACTAATTATCACGTTGTTGCAAAATTAGCAACAGACCAAAGTGGGCTACAACGTTGTAAGGTTTTCTCCTATATCTGGTTATTTATCCTTTTGAATGGTTTTCATTTTTCTTCTGCGAGCAACAGACTATACACCGAAGGACATTTACCTTTTTCCTTTTACCATGGTTATCTGATTGGCAGTTTTTTATGTAACAGGTAAACTTAGTTGATGCCACGGGCAAAAGCTTTTCCAAGGAGGGGAAGATTGTTGGTTTTGATCCAGCATATGATTTGGCTGTTTTGAAGGTAATTACCCAAGCTTGTATTGTTATCATCAGTTAAAGCTCCTTTTGTTTGATTAATAAGAACTGTAATCAACTCAATATAGGGCAATAGCTAGATTGAATCATTTATTATATGGACTAGATAAACTTGAAAATTGTTTTACTCGAGTCATTTACTATTTAATTTTAGATAAACATCAAGGAAATTTTAGAACTAGGATTTTCCATTACTTTTAAGATGAAATAATGTTCAAATCCGTACCTCACTCTTTCTTGCCCTTTCATGTTCTAAAAAGCCCTTTTTCAGGGTCCTAACCACCCAGAACTGGATCTTGAGGGCTTTCTTTGATGGCAGACTCATTAAAGGACTAAGGCATAGGCAACTATTTATAGCACATGATCTTCCATGATTCAGAGTCAATTTCTTTGCATTCATCACCAAAACCGAAAAAAAAGAAAGAAAAGAATACATCTTTTTGCTGAGAAGCAGCAGCTCAAAAAGTTGAACCTTGAGAAACAGGGAGACTTTCCGAAACAAGGTTCAACTTTTTTTGTGAAACAAAACGATGTGGTTTCAGCACTTGTTTGAAAGAGAAACACTGTACTCATTCTTCCTTTTCATACAACCCTATTTTGTTGGGGTGTCTAGATACAAAAGGATTCATGAAGAATGCCTACTTTGTTGAGGAAAAATGACAGGTAATTGAAAATAATCTTTGGCATTATCAGCTTAGAGTCTTTTAATCTGCAAAGTTTGAGTCTTAATCATTTAATGAAAATTTGGAGAGAATACCGAGTTCTGATTTTTTCTTGAGGAGTAATATCCATGTTACTTGGGTGCACATTTATATAGGAGATGAATACTTTTTACATGTCTGGAAAAGCTTTTACTTGTGATTTTTATCTTTTAAGTTCATTTTTATTTTAAATTCTTCATTGGTTCTGGAAATTGCGATTCAAAACTGACAAAACTCTTTATTATCTGCAGGTTGATGTTGAGGGGTATGAAGTAAAGTCTGTTGTCATTGGCAGTTCTCGTGATCTACGTGTGGGTCAGAGCTGCTTTGCAATTGGAAATCCCTTTGGATATGAAAACACTCTAACAACAGGGGTAATTCTTCAATAAAGTGACTGCTATTAGCACCTAAAATTTATATGCGTATACCATATCATTAACACACTGAATGTCTTGCAATTGAAGTCTGAAACTGACAAATGAGTTACTCTGCAAACAAGATAATCATGTCCTCAGATTATCGATTTAGTATTCAATTTTTACAGTTTTTTTCAGTTAATTCAAAGAAATGGTTTATCTTGCAAGCACTTACAGTTTTTCTATTTAAATTCAAACAAATGGTTTATCTTACCAAGCATTCTTGAAACACTAGACAATTTATTGAATATATTTTCTTCAGAAAACAAAATTTACAATTTCAATGAATAAAGTCAAGTATCAAATATCTGCAAATATGAAAATCACAAGCTAGCTAACTTGAAGTAAGTAGGTGGTCAGTGGCCTAGGCAGGGAGATACCTTCACCAAATGGAAGTGCTATACGAGGAGCTATTCAGACAGATGCTGCTATCAATGCAGGTAGAATTGTTCACTTCTATGGGTTCCCTTAAGTTAATTTCACATTCAAGAAATTTCATGTTAAGGAATGCCCCATGATATGCACTAGTATAGCTTTTCTTATTAATTCTACCGACCCTATGCTTGCATTCTTCCATTTATGTAATCATAGCCTCCTTTTTTGAGGATCGAGCATAATATTACTTTTAATACTGATGCTACATAGGATGGTTGTGGTGAAGCGAAACACATTCCTGAAGTCTTGTATGGTGTTATTGTCCTTAATATCCGTCATTGTGATCTTTCTCACGGAGCTTGTGATTATTGATCTTTCTAGTTTTGAACTTGTACAGGGAACTCAGGTGGGCCATTGATTGATTCCTATGGCCATGTTATTGGTGTTAACACTGCAACTTTCACTCGCAAGGGTAATGTATTTCTATTGACTTGATTCTCTTATCTCTCATTTATATCTTTTTGCTTTCTTGGGGTAAGTCTTTTATATCTCTTAGGCATAAATTCTTATTGTTTCTTGTCAAGTACCTCTGGACTTCTTCCAGTGGTGGAAAATTTAGAAAGAAAAGGTTGTGAGAGTTCATAAAAAATTTAAAAAACCGAGTCCGTGTTTGATGCAAGTGTTCGGTCTAATAGTTATACACATGAGGGGCGTGATAATGCATAAACAATAGACTGAATTCTATCTTATAAGCTTAAACTATAAAGATAATTGCCTATTAGTATGTTTGGCGGATTCTTTCAGCTAATAAATTAGATATTTTGCAGAAAGCTACGAGCATGTTTTAGGATTTTGAATGCCTTATTTGCTTATATATGTCACAGGGACTGGGATCTCATCTGGTGTGAACTTTGCAATACCAATTGATATCGTTGTACGCACAGTACCCTATCTTATCGTGTACGGAACACCTTATAAAGACAGGTTCTGAAGTTATTTTATGTTCAACCATCAAGAATCCAAATCTTGTTGATCCAGAAACACGCTCAACCTTACTACGAAAGACGTAAAACTCTAAGTCTCTGCAATTGCAATTTTATTATTTATATCTCCTACACGACATAAAACTCATGTTGAACTGCATATATAATACAGAATTAGCCATTATCATGCAGGAGATATGATACTATAACTGTAGTTTCTCTATATAGACTTCGTTCCTCATGTCCATTTTATGTAGATTTCTTGCATTGATCGAGTTGCTTTTCATGTTGTTACTAATTTTTTATCAAGAGTTCATGACACCCATCAAATTTGATTACCACTTCGTTAAATCAATCTACCTACAAGAAAAACTACCTCTACCTACCATTTGCTTTTGCATCACACTGTTCGTTGCTAAACTAATCGTTTCACTACAAAAGGTTCTTATCAGTACACATTTTCGTTTACATATTTTGCAACTGACTAATATTGTCACCATAAGTAGCCACCAAAATTACAATTCACTGATTGACAAACAAAGTATCACTTGCATGATAACAAAATAGTTCAGGATCTTTTTTTAATCTACACTTTCGGGAAAGTTCAGTACGCATTCGAACGAATGCTGCAAATTCTCAACTAAAAACCTTACAAATTTGATCTAAAGAATGGCATTTCAACCCAAGAAACAAACAAACAATAGCTGGTATACATAACTTGCTCATATATCTTTAATTACCAATTTATCATCATAAATTGGTATGTCTTAACCTTCTAAAAGCAAGGAGGTTAGATCCTCACAATTGTAAGGCTGCTGTGGCATAACAAAAGGGAAAAAGAACATCCAACTTCTCTCCAAGCTTCAGTGTTATTTGCAAAGTTGAGATTTGAAACTCTTATTTCTAGTTTTTATATCTCCCACTAAGCTTTCTAAGCGTAGCCTACAGAGTCTCTATTTACATTTCTGTTCTTCTAACTCGAAAATTTCAACAGCCTTAAGTTCAAACTCAAAAGCTTAAAACCGAATGGAAAAGAAAGCAAGGTCCTTGGAAATGGGTTATATGCAAGACTCAAACAAAAAAATTGCTTGGGAAGACAAATTTTATGTACTCAAGAAGTAACTTCTTTCAAGCGAAGTGTTTTCAGCCGTCCAAATCTGCGACTAACTACAATCTCATTCATCGTGCCATCCATCCAACTTATCCAACACGAACATTTCCAGTGTAATGGATACTATAACTGTTTTCCAACTGACGAACAATAGAACAATCAAATCAGGGTATGCTTAATCACGACCGCGTTTCAAAAAATAAAAAATCTGACGCTAAATCTGATTTCTGTTCCTAAAGTTGTACCATTGACAGTTGTTCTTCAATCGAGCAATCGACATGGCAAGAGGTTCGGCAAGAGGCAGGGACGAGAATGAGGCCAAGGCATCGCTGTTCCATGGAAGAAGGAGAGGATCGTCTTGTGCTTCGATACTCTACTGCATCCTGTAGAATGATGTTTCCTTGCTTGTCAATGCAGTGGAATGTACCCAAGAAAAACCTACCATCCTTAATTCCCACCAGCATACGACGAAACAAGAGCTCTCTTGCCCGACTAACAGGATCTAAGCTACTCGAATTACGCACATTTGAGGTTCCTGTCGGAATTAGGGATTCTTCCTTTCCACCTTCCATGGTAGCACCCTAGAACCAACAACTAAAAGTCATTTTCAATAAAACAAATGCATCAAATGACATGCAAAAACCCACTAGTCGCAATATCACAGGCAGCTACTTACTGGGTAAAATGATTCCTGTCTTCTGCTTAATCTCCCTTATTTTTCAACTGTAAAACATATAAATCTCAATCACCATGAGATAGTGCTGTTCAATCCCACTCAAACCCAAGGAAATAATATTGGGATTTCAAATTTCAAGCTGAAGCTTCCATGACTTCAATCAAACATGTCTAATTCTAATTCAAATAACCCACATGCAGTCAAATTAGCAAAAGTTCAGTTTCATTGAAATACAGTTCCAAAATTTCATCTTAATCATCCCCAAAAAGTTTCTCCTCCAGCCGAAAAGGAAAGGTGTAAATCGATGAACAACTCTTTTACTTAAATCCAGAGTTCGGAGAGATGGGTAGCTGGAGCAACAAACTACAAGCAAGATCCTCAAAAAAAAAAAAAAATCGAAGAAAACAGCAAACAAAAACCCCCCCAGCGGCTGCTAAGAAAACTTACCTGCAAAACCAGAGAAGACAGACGCTCGCACCCAGAAAAACCTCTTCTGATTCAGAGAGGAAGAGAACGAAGTCCTCAACCCAGAATAGGTTTACTGATGAAACCCAGCTTTCAATCTTTGGGCGGCCATTAAAATCTGGTGCTGTATTCCGGAAAACTGATTCTCCCGTAACAATTCCTCTTACTTTCTTTTTCCAAAGGAAGAATTACATTCTTTAATGATAAAGGGAAAATAACATTTTAACTTTTATTATTAATCTCTCAGTTACACCGACATGACTCCAGACATATATATATGTATACGTACATATAGCCTGTATATCCTGTTCAAATTAGAAAGGCCCATTTATCAAAGTTTAGGGCTTGACGAGGGTGTTTCTCGTGTAGATTTCATGGCCTAGGGTTTTTTAGTCTAGGGTTCTTTGTTGAGAGCTTGATCAACCCACAATTATAAAAAAAAAAAAATCTGGTTTTTATTTATTTATTTGTTTTTTTTTTTTACAGTTATCCTTTACATTTTCTTTTAAATTTTTCTAATTTTTTTTTATTTTTATTATAAAAATAGATAATTAAACAAAATAAGTTATAAATAAAAAATTATTAATAAAAAAAAATACATTGTGTATGAACTTTACTAAAACCACCTAGTCCGAGAGTTAGAGTAAGAAACGATCGTATAAACCAATTGTATTTTTATTTAGAATAAAAATAAAAATTATATTTTCATTATAATCTTAGATAACGATAATTACTTAAATATTTATGTATTATCATAAAAAATAAAAAAAATCAATCGTATAGGTTTGACTACAATTATATGGAATCCAGTCGGATAATATCATTTTTTTAGTGAGTATGAATTTATTCGCGTTTACTTTATTGTCCCTCCATATCCCATATCTTCTTATCCCGACCATTCCTAAGCTTGCGCAGGAATGAAATATAGGGATGTCCTTATCTCAAGTAACTCACGACAAAAAACGAGGATTTATCTCGTTTTATTGTCGTTTCAAGGCTACTTTGATCATCACGTCCATTCCTAAGCCTACGAATGAATGGGATAGACGTGATGCCCTTATTTGAGTTCACTTTTCTCATCCCGACCATTCACAAGGTTGCGGAGGAATGGAATATGACTTGCATTTATTATCCGAGCTGACCAATTAGTTAATTATAAACGTTTTTGTTAACGATGGTATAATAGATATACCAAATTATCGTTGCCAAACTTTAAATATTATTTCAGAAAATGATATAAAAATTTAGAAGTTTGATTTAAAATTTTCTTAATTCATCTACATACGATAAATAACTAAATTATTTGACATTAACACGTTCTAATGATTAGTCGACTATATAATAAATAAAAAATAATAATATTATTTGTCGTATCGTATTATTCTCGTCAAACATAAAACTAACTTTGACAAAATAAGAAAATTATAATTTATACAATTTTATTCCTTAATACGTAATTACAATAAGTATCGAAGTTCAAAAACTAATTTAATAATTTTTTTCTTTTACGTTTAGTTATATTTGTTTTAATTTATTTGAAATTTTATTTTTTATTATATTATAATTTTATACTGTAATTAAATTATTTATTTATAAATAAATATTGAATGTATAGACCTAGTAATAAATATTTAACAATAAATTTTAAAAAATTATATTAAAATATTTTTCTATATCTAAATTTGTATTATATTTTAAATTATTTAATTATTTCAATGGTACATTTTATAATTTTCATATTATTTTTTTTTATACTATTTATTAAATTTTTATTTAAATAAATTATACATCTTCTAACCATGCTAAGCTTATCCCGCTCCATCTTATTAGCCCTAGAGATGGAGAACTCCTCTCTCACTTTACAGCAGTACCGTAAGATTTTCTCGGCACACTGTTTTCCCTGCAGTGGAAATTGAAGTTCCTCGATTTTCATAATCAATCATCGTTCTTGTCATCAGAATCGTTGCTTTCAGCCCTTCCATCTGATCGAAAGTCCATTCACACCGCTGCTTCAGGTAAGCATTTCTCTCTAACCCTAGCAATATCAAGATATATGCCTTGAAGAAGCTCTCCTTGAAAATTCTCTCTCTCGCTTTCTCCGAGGGTTCTCTCAATTTTTTTTTTGGCTCTAGTCCTTGAGAAGAGACTAGGTAATGTTTTTTTTTTTTATTATTATCATCAGATTTCTTTTATTTATATTTGAAACATATGCAATTTCAACGAACTTTGATATTGTCGCGTTAGTTTATACGCTGGGGTTCTTAATTTTGCATTTGGTTTTCCGTCGATGCGATGAATAACGTATTAGTTCTCAACATTTTTGGATCAACTTTTCTTTAGGGTTTATCGATAATCATTCATGGGTCGTTTTAAACCGTTGTTGTATTACTATGCTTTTTGATGAATTTTTGAAAATTTGCATTTTTCCCTCTTAATTTGCGAATATTGGCAAAATTGGTGCACGTTGTCCGCTCCCGCCTTGTGCTTAGGGTTTCGTTTGAGTGCCTAGCGTTGTAGTTTGTTCAAAATGGTGAAGCTGAATTTCTAATTTTATTACTTTGCGTATGGATGGTAATAGATCCTTCAACTGGTCTAGGAGGATTGAGTAAGAATTCCTCAACTACTTCCCTGCTAGAGGTAAGATTACTTTTGTGTCATATTGTTAACGTAGCATACTAATTGGAGTTAGATTTCGTAGAGAATATATGTACACGTTTATTTGTATCTCGTGCTTCTGAACTTGGTATCTATTTTTATTAATCTGTCATTTATCGTCAGTTTTATACTCTCACATTTTCCAAAATATTAGCCATAAATGTTGCAATTTGCAAAATGTATTTTAGTAGGTAAAGCCATTTTTTCCCTTTTTGTAATATTCCATTTGAACAAATGGGCTTGGAAGAATCCTTGTGTTCGTTATTAAAATGAATTTCCAAACAAAGGTTGATTATATACCTTGTTTAACCTTATGTTACGTAAGTTTCCTCTAAAAACTCTTCGTTTACTTTGCCTAAGAAGTCCCAAACTTAGTGTAGATCGGCAAGTTAGTTGTATATGGATAAAGTGAATGAGAGTCAAGCTTATGCATATATGTAAGAAAAGAAGGGAGTCAAGTTATTCAATGTAGGTTTGGAGATAAACCTTACCATGTTGCTCTGTTTTTGGGCTAAATCAAGTATTGTTACAAAGAGGAAATGATGCAGAATGAGCTAGTAATAGAGTTTAGAAATTGTAATCATATTAAATGCAAAACTGCTATGATATTTAGGAATATATATTATTGAGGAGTATTATTATAGTTTGACTGATTAGGATTTTTATTCTTATTAGTATTTTACAATTTGTATTAGAATTAGTATTCCTAATTCTACTAATTTACCATTCCCTAGTTTAATTATAGACAAGAAAAGACTATTATAAATAGTTTAGTAATTTCATGTATTAATCATTCAGTTATTCGATAATATTTTTTTTAAGAATTTTTCATAATTGATTGAGTGACTCAATCTGCCTTTAGGTGTGATGCCATAGAAGCCGAGGTATGATATCTGGATTTTCCCAATTTCTTAGTAAGTGCTTAAGACTTCTTACCTTTGATGTCTAAGAAACCCTAGGTGTGATATCTAAATTTTTTAATTCCCAAATCCCTGATTGGATAAATTAATCCTATTTGTCCTACATTAGGAAAGAAAAGAGTAAATCAGATGGAGGATAACGTGATCCTCTTTAAGTCGGAAAAAAAGAAAAAAGAAAAGGAAAGGCAAATCAGTCTATATAAATGGCTCCCGAATCTCTTTATAAATATGATCTATTGCTTTCTTATTTCTTGTCAATTAAATGGTAAGTGGGACAAGGAGAACATTATTGTTTACTTTTATATCTGGCTTGCACTTAGGTTTTGTTTGTTTTTCCAGGAGTTTAAATTTAAAAAATGGGCGAGAATGGGAAGCGCTTTCGACCTCAAAGAGCTCATGATGGGGACAATAAGAATCAAAAGCGGCGTCTTAATGAAAGAGATGAAAAGGGTAATGATGAACTAGTTTTTTATAGAATTCTATGCCCAGATGGGGTGATTGGAAGTGTCATTGGTAAGAGTGGTAAAGTCATAAACTCCATTAGGCAAGAGACGAGAGCAAAGATCACAGTGGTGGACCCATTCCCTGGGGCGAATCATAGGGTCATAATAGTATATTGCTATGTTAAGGGGAAAGAAGAAGTTGAGGTAGATGATGAATTCAGTGACAGGGAACCTCTTTGTGCGGCTCAGGATGCTCTTCTCAGAGTTCATGCTGCAATTGCAAATGCAGTGGCAAATATTGGAGATGCCAATAAGAAACCAAAAGATAAGGAGGAATGTCAAATTCTTGTCCCTTCTAGTCAGTCTGCAAATATCATTGGTAAGGCTGGGGCAACCATCAAAAAACTTAGGAGTAAGACAAGGACAAACATTAAGGTCACTGCCAAGGACACATCAGACCCAACACACTCATGTGCCATGGAGTTCGACAACTTTGTTCTGGTTAGTATTAGCTATAACCTGTAATAAAGCATTTGATATTGCATTGAAAGTTTAAATAAAGCATATAGCTACTAAACTGTGAAAAGATGATGGGTGGTCATGTAATTGATGCACTGTGTACAAAATGTTGTTCTTTTTTTTTTTCCCTGGATCTTCTCGTATGATCCCATGTAAAGTAGCTGACTCATTTTCTGTAACAATTGCTTGGATGATTTAAATCTATGATCCGAATCTCTGAATTACCACATATTATTGATTCATTACCTTTAGTTAAAAACTTTGGAATGTTAACTTAAAATGTTGGTACATTTCATACATGGACTTCTTGTCTTAACTGCCCTATCATCACTTGACTGAGCTTCTTGTCTTAACTGCATTATCATAACTGAACCAAAACAATTGATACCCTTTCAAATAGGGCCTCTATTGTTTCATGTACCTTAACAATCACTTTTTGCCTGGGCTTTAAGACTCTAGCATTTACTTGGCCCTGGAGTTGGTGTAGGGGCCTGATTCACACCCAGGTGTAACCAAATTCACAAAAAGAGCCTACAAAGATTTTTTTCTGTGTGGTTTTTAGCTGGATAGAATGATGGATGTGAAAACTTTTCCATTATTAATTTCCAGATGCTCTTCATGGTTCAGTTCTTTATTAAACTGAAATTGCAGTCAATTTTATCTTACACGGTGCCTTCTGCTAGGCTCTTCCTCGAAATTTTTTGTGTAGTCTATTTTTTGCAAATGATGTCAGAACTATCATAGAGGCCTATGTTTGAGTTTTTATGTTGGTATCAAGGTATAAACAGATTTTATGACTGAATCAATGAGTATTCATGTATACTTTTGTTAAATTATTATCTGCTCTCTAGCTTCTTCATGCCTTTCTAGTATTTCTCCGAGGGTGTTACCTCGTACTTCTCCCACGGTGTCATTTATTTTGGGAGTTTTATTGTGAATTTTATTTTCTGTTTTTCTCTTTGAATAGATATCTGGAGAATCAGAGGCAGTGAAGAAGGCACTTTTTGCGGTTTCTGCAATCATGTATAAGTTCACTCCAAGAGAAGATATTCCTCTAGAGACAACGGTTCCAGAAGTAGCGCCAAGCATTATTATTCATTCAGATGTCCCAATTTATCCACCTGGTGGCTTATATCCAAATGCGGATCCTATTCTCCCATCTAGGTCAGTTCCACCAATCTTAGGTGCAGCGCCAATACCAGATATTCAGAGTTACACAGACGCAGGAAGTGCATGGCCTGTGTATTCATCTGCTCTCCCTGTAGTTTCCAGTTTTAGTGGTGCATCTCAATTTGAGGAATTAATCTTAAGAGTTTTATGTCCCTTCAATAAGATTGGGCGTGTCATTGGTAAAGGAGGAGGTACCATTAAAAGCATAAGGCAGGCAAGTGGTGCCCGTATTGAGGTTGATGATACTAAGGCTGATTCTGATGAGTGTATCATCACTGTAACTGCAACAGAGGTATGGTCCTTCTTTCTCATTTTTTATTTAAGCCAATTATGATTGCAAAACTTCAAGCTGCCTTCAAAATGGGAAGAGCGGAAGCTGATTTGATTCTCTCTTGTTAATTGATACTTTAAGTGACTTGATTTGCGAATCCTTTTGCATAGAGATCTTGTAACAGGTCTAGTTATGTGTTGTCTTGTCAAATTTGTTTATGGTTATTGATGTAAAAGACAGAAAAGTTCCAATCAAGGATCATAAGGATTGATTACCGAAAATTAAAATGTTGAAAAAACCAACAACCAGATTCACATTGTTGTCATAACCTCTATTACAAGGTTGTGAGGCACTCCAACAATGAGGGAATATCAGTATATTTTATTCATAGCGACAAAAGTTACAATAGAAGATAGAGGAGAGAGAGTGAGACTCTAGGGAGAGAAAGTCCACTCTGCCCTGATTTTCATGTTGTTTTTTGGCTGGCTTTCTGTCACCAAGAAAATTTCTGGTGATTCTTTTTATGGGTTTGGAAGGAGAGGTTTAGTACATTCTCAAGTTTAGAGGAATTGTATCAAGTTAAGGTGTCTAAATAACAATAACGAGCCTTAGCTAATGTTTCATGAAATAAAATAACTAAATTAGTAGAAGTAAACAAAATAGGGTAAAACAAGAGAAACAAGTGATGTGTTTGGTATGGACGGGACTGAGCTGAAAAATTCGTCTTTTTATGTTTGGTTGGGGTGAATATTACAAATTATGTTTAATTATTGTATAATTATCAAAATGCTCTCCATGTCAACTCCATGTGTAATATTTTGGTAGTTCACGTGCTAGAAAGGATATTTGGTAGTTAATGAACAGTTTATGAGATTACTGGTTCAGAATTTTCATCTTAGTACAGGAGCCTTCCTTTTTTGGATGATGTTGGTATTGTTGAGTTTTTCGACATCTCCTTTTCGTAATTTTGTATTTGGTGGAGCCCCCTTGGTGCCCTTTAATATTGTTAATATTTTTTCTCTCGACAAAAAATTATATGTTTATATATTAATAAATTAGATTCTTATTATTTTATTGTTTGGTAATGGTAATTCTTACTAACTTTTGATTGAGTTAATTTTTCTTTTGACAAAGTTCAAACTATTTATAGTAAATGATTTTAGAAAATAATGATATAATTATTATATGATTAACACTGAGCCCTTTAGGAGAAAGGTGAGGAAAAAATGATGTCATATATACAAGAAAATATACAGTGGAATTTAAGATAGACGTGTTAGGATTATTAAAGATAGGCAAGTAAATATTTTTTTTTTGAAATAAAAAGCATGAGAAGTTAAGATAGAGGAGTAAATATACATCCTATACTTTTTATTTTTTAAAAAATTGAGTTCTGAACATGCTAGGAACTATTTTGTCCCACCAAAATAAAGAAAAAACTTGTTCTCTGAATTACTCTTTTGGTATGTTCTAATTATCATTTTATGCCACAAACATCGGACTGAATTTTATGAAATCAAATGCTACCTTAATAACAATGATGAATCATTTGTGTATTTATAAGGGTTTGAAATAACTCAATATATCTAGGATATCTGAATAGAAAAACAATTAGCAAAGCAGGATCCCTACCAAATTAAATAAGAAATGATTGAGCTATACTTAGTATTAGCGTATACTCAATAATTTCTAACTAAATATCTTTAATAATACATAAATATCAAAGTTACATAAATATTTCTCCAGTTGAAGTTCTTTCTCTTCTGCATCAGTAAGTTCTTGAGGTTATACTTAGTTGTTAGATATCAATCTTAGTGGTTCCTGATTTTAGTTGCTACTTTTTGGTAATTTTCATTTCAAGTTCAAAGTCATTTCTTTATGTTGTTCTCAAAGGACATTTAATGTGTTTTCATTCTGCTAGTTATCTCAATTTACTTGATGTAAAAATGTATCGCACTTACCATTAGGTTAGTTAATTTGGTCAATTCCCACTTTTTATTTGTTTGCATTGCACTAGGTGGGAAAACATGTTGTCTTCTTTTGCCGACATGATGTGAGTGGTATTCTTCCTTTAGTCAACTGATCATATAATGTGTCTAATGTGTAGCAGTCACCTGATGATTTGAAGTCTATGGCTGTTGAAGCTGTTTTGCTGCTACTAGGGAAGATTAATGATGAAGATGAAGAGACTGCTTCAATGCGACTTCTAGTTCCATCAAAAGTTATTGGATGTATCATAGGAAAAAGTGGTTCAATTATAAATGAAATTCGGAAAAGGACAAAAGCTGATGTTCGTATTTCAAAAGGGGAGAAGCCTAAGTGTGCCGATGCTAGTGATGAGCTTGTTGAGGTGTGTTCTTTTTTGAATTTTGTAAGGTACTCCTACATCAGTATTTTTTGCATATCTTTTTTTGATAAAAGAAATGAGTTAACTTTGTGTATGGTAGGTGGTTGGAGAAGTTGCTACTGTGAGAGATGCGCTTATACAAATTGTTTTGAGGCTTCGGGATGATGTTCTGAAAGATAAGGATGGTGGTCGGAACACTGCTGTTGGAGCTGATTCTCTGTACTCAGGTGGCAATGGTCTTTCAGTGTCCTCCTTATTACCTTCTGTTCCTCCAGTTGCTCCTCTCGGTTATGATCAAAGGGCAGAAACTGCTAGTGGCTTAGGCATGTTTTCCTCAAGCAGCCTTTATGGATATGGAAGTTTGCCGGTATGTTATCACTGCACTATATTGTGTTCATTACCAGCATTTCTAGTTATTCTTTGATATTGCATGGCCAATTACACTTTGGTCCTTATGGTTTGGCCAATCTTAAAATAAAGCACTGTAGTTGATTTTCTGATAGTTCATTACTTTGAAGTTTCATAATTAAACAATGGAATGGTTTTTGCTACTTTAACGGCTGCTTATTTCTTGCGGATAAAATTTAAAAAAATCATGCAGTTGTTTTTTGAAATAAAAAAAATTATGAAATTGTTCTTTTTCATTCTGACAAATAGTCATTCGTAACATATATAGGCCTTTTTGAAATACTAAAACTCTATAAATTATACTGAATTTGCATTAATTTATCAGCTATGGTTAAAAAAAAAACAAGAAACAATGTCAAATCTATATACGATTTCTATGATCACTAGAGTAGCAACTTGCCCTTTTTGTCCATTAGTGAAACTGCAATGTGGTGAATTGTCACAAACAAATAAAAACAATTTTTTTAAATAAAAAACAAATAAGAACAAATAACATGACTTATTTTGAAACAAGCCAAATCACAAGGGATGAAACTATAATTTGCGATTTTTGTTTTAGAGTAATTGTTGAATTAGATGGTGGGTTTCATATGATCGTAATAAGATGATGCATTAATTTGTTTTCATTAATTTTTGAACATATCATTTTCTCAGCACTCGTTAAGTGCGCGGCTAGTGTAAGCTGCCTTGTTGCTGATCTTTCTGTTGCACGATATGTACTCTTAATTTATTATTAATTAGCTTGGGTGCTTGGTTTTGAGGCTTTTATTGTGATCTCTTGGTTCTTTTATGACAAAAATCCGTCTACTTGTATTCATTTGGATCATATGGCCTTTGTTTGGTTTATTGATTCTATAATCAAATTTATGTTGGTTTTCTAGAATTAAATTTCCTCCAGTTTAATTTTATGTTCCATCTGTTTAAATTCATTTAATTTTATTTCTTCTGAGTAGATGGGAGAAACTGGATATGGATCTACAATGTCATATTCATCCAAGTTGTATGGAGGGTAATCATTTATATTTATGAGGAAGTTTTTTCTCCCCTGATTTTATGCTTTAGATCTGAATTTGCTTTCTAATTCTGCGTCTTGCCTTCACGCAGATTATCTCCATCAACTCTTGAAATTTTGGTTCCTGCAAGTGCAGTGGGCAAGGTTATGGGAAAAGGAGGATCCAATTTGGCCAACATTCGGAAGGTTGTTTCATGCATATTTTAGTTAATGGCGATTTTTATCGTTGGTTAAGCAGTCTTATAATTCTTTGTTTCCATTCTATTTTGTTTTGCATTGGCATTGTGGTTATGATCTAGTACACAATAGACTAGGGTTTGGAAAATACAGAAGAGAGAAAGAAAGTCTAATTTACAACTGCATGGATTGATAACAACCACAAACACCAGCTTATTAATGACCCAATCAATGAGGGAATATCAACTTGATTTATTCTCAACAATATAAATAACTAGGTTGAAATTATCCATATACTTACAGGATGTCTATAAAACCTAATATGACTGCTTGCTTATAAGAAAACAGTAACAAAATAAGACTTCTCCTTAGGAGAAAAAAAATAATTTTTATAATTAAGAGTCACATCTAGATGTCTTAAGTATCGCACTTAATATGATTGCATTAGAAACCAAAGTACTGAAAAAAATATCATGATATTATTCACTATAGGCCTATCTCAAAATCAATATCACATAGGAATTTATGCTAATGTGGTTTGATATTTGATGTATGGAATGGTGTACTAGGCCAAACTTAACACACATAGTGTGGTTAGCAAGTTCATATCTAGTCAAGGGAAGAAACATTGGCAAGCGACCAAGTGGATTTTTTTTTTTTGAGATAAAAAGTGTATGGTATAAATATTAACAAAGATACCCGGGGGTTACTGTCCATGTACGAAGAAGAAATTTATAAGTCAATTAGAAGATCAATAACATTCCCAAAATCTTCCCAAATCTTCCATTCTATAAATTTCATGATCCAAAATTAAAGAACCAAAAGTATTTAACTACCTTTCTCTAACATAACATTCTCCCCCTTTTAACTCCCTTAAAAGGTCTAGCATTTCTCTTCTTCCAAAACACCCAAAAAATAGATATAGGGACAAGATTGAGATAAGTTATACAAATTCACGCCCACGCCCATAGCTCATCCCTCATTGACCCTGCAACCCCCCAATTAATCCCTAAAGGAGTCATTTTACTATGGGCAAATTGTGGTTAATTTTCATGATTTGGTTTTATTATTGCACTGCCTTCTACATGTTTTTTCTGGTATCTTTGGACCAAAAATTTTCTTGTGAGGTTGGACAAAAATTTTTTACCATGTATTATCTTCTTATTGATAGTTTTTTCGCTTGTATTTAGTCATCTTTCATTAGCCAAAAAACATTTTGTCCTTGCCCTTTTTAAATCTAGTTTAAATCCCCGTGTTCGTTTTTCTTTCAGATATCAGGAGCAATGGTTGAAATGTCTGAGTCCAAATCTTCTCGGGGTGATCGTATTGCCCTTATATCTGGCACACCTGATCAGAAGCGTGCTGCTGAAAACTTGATTCAGGCATTTATTATGGCCACTTGACATTTGAGGGTACTTCTTGATATTTGAAGATGAATAGTTAAAGGTCTTCAAAATCCTCTCGCATTATGCTCCATAGTTCCTATAGGTTCATTTCTGGAGAGATCCTCAAATCCTAGGATTTCTTCAACTGGGCCTCTCATGTTTCTTCCATAACAGTGCATACCAAGGTTATCGGGGAAGATATACTACTGTTTTAACGTACATGTGACTTAGGTTCCGTCTCTGTTGCTTAAGTTGTTCGATGTTCGGGCTATCTTAGAAGTATTTAGGATCTTTTCCTTACAGTACTCTGCTCAGTATTGAGTCAAATCTTATTTCTAAAATTGTTACTCTAAATTGATATTTGCGCTAGGATTTTTCTCTCAATCATGATTGTCAACTCATTATATTTGCGTTTTATTTTCTGGCCACTCTCATTTGCTCTCAGCTGCTTGACCGACAGATTTTTCTGATGATGCTAAGTTTAACGTGATTAATTATATTCCTTCTTCTTAGTTTGAATAGTCACGTGGTTTTGTATAAGCTATAGTCAGCTCCGCAGAGCATTGATATTCTCCACTCTTTTTCTCATGATTCATATTCTTGTCTCATGTTCCTGTGTTTGTGACTATATCAGTGAAAAAGGTAACTCATGACGTAGTATTTTATCTCAAATTCCTTCCTCATTCTGTCTTCTCTTAGTATGTTCATGAAGATTTCTTCTTTTCTTATAAAAATGCTCATGAAGATTTGCTTCTCATTCCATGTTTAATAGAAAATTTAGTTGATGCTGCCTTTGAAATCAGTCATGCTAGTTTTAAGAATGGCCTCTATATATTCTTTAATTTCTTTTCCCGAGTTATATTTTAAGATGACCTTCCAGGAGGTTTCTATAGAGCAGAATGCTTAGGATTTCATTTTATGCCTCTCTATTCTCAGTCAGTTAAAGTTACTGGGGAGGTACTGCTGCCTCACCAAGCTTGGTCTAAAGGATTCTGAACCTGATTAGTTAACAGACAAAAAAAGTTGAGCAGATCCACAATTCATTTGTGGGCTCTGAAATGATATATTCTGTAAAAGAGTCGTTCACATAAATTGTTTTGAATGAGTAAATCAATCATTTGTCCTTGGGGATCTAGCATTTATACTTCCATACCTACTGATTAATGCACTTGAGATGTATTTTCCCAATCTCCTGACAAAGACGTTATATGGACTGGATTGAAGGGTTAGTCATCGAGAATTAGGATTTGTTTCTTGCTGCAATATTCACTTGCAGCATACTATATCTCAATGGATTGCGGTACTCTACTGCATTTACTTTCTGTAATGATGGTGTTTGCCCAAAATAAAACTTTGGTTAGCATCTTGAACCGGTCATCCTTTATAAGGTATGACTGAAAGATCATCAATTGACATGACTGGTTTTCCGAGCCTAATCACATTGATACAGTTTTTAATTTGTTCAGAAGATTATGTTCCTTTTGAGATTAGCAGCCAGTGGTTTCATTTTGTTGAATTTGTGACTCAAGTATACTGTGGATCTCAATCATACCATTATCATATTTGGAATATTTTGTACATTTAGACCCTTGTTTTCAAGTAAATTTTAGTTTCCATTAGACCCTTTTTTTGGGTGTAAAATTTTATTTTACCTGTGAGAGTTTCTTTTTTTCTTTGATTACAAGAAGATTTTTTTCCCTGAGAAAATCTTCTCTCCATCCTCATGTTTCGTCGCTAAACAAAGCTGCAGCTGCAGAACAATTTTTTGTGTCTTTCAGTGTTTCCTTGCAAATTTTAGATAATCAGATTATCAATTTGCATCTTGTTGACGTTACACCAGTGCCTGTCTATCTTCCTCCCTGAGGAAACCTCATCTGGAATGTAAAGTGGCTCATAATTGATCCGATTCTGTGTTTGAACCCTGGTTTGGAGTTCAGATAAATAAAAACTGCAGTGGTAACAGCATTGTCTGCCCTTTAATTATCAGATCAACAGTTAGAAAGCGAATGACCTTCTGCCCCTCCATTTGTTTTGTTCCACAGAGCCTCTTAGACTGATTGCAATACTTGCATGAAAACATGTTATTCCAACTTCAAGACCTTTTAGGTCGGTGTTGTTTGTAACTTCGGGGTACACATTCTTTTTAGCTTTTTTAGGTTGAATGCTATTTATACTGCTTTTCTGTTCTGAACTTTATTTTCAAACAAAGACTAGTTGAAATAAGGACGGAAATTTCCTAAGGCAGATCATCCAAATGTGCTTGCTGCCAAAGTGCTCTTCTGTTTAGAGCTGTGAGTAGGTTCACTCTTTGCGATTCTTCTCTCCGTCTGTTCTGGTTTCATTTCCCTCCCTCTATCTGGCTTTGCACTGTAGCTGGCAGTCATTCTGAATTGACTACTCATCCCCGTTCTTGCTTTAGTCAGTTCAACAAATAGGTGTTTCTACACTTAGATAAGTTCATATTAGGCAGGGGGTTGGTTAGTTTTTGTTTGTGGCTCATATTCTTCAGATTTTTAGTTGTTAATGCTGGGGCTCGTTGGTGATGATTCACTCGGTATATTTGCAGGGAGTAGCCTTTCTTTTTTTCCCTCTTGGTTGTATGCATATACATACATATATATATATAGAGAGAGAGAGAGAACTAGAGTAGGTAGGTAAAACTTGAGAATACCTTATGTTTGATTGATATGTAAAAAGTTTGCCTTGATGATGTTGAATTTGGATTTGTCAACTAGTGGTTGATGTAACAGTAAGAACACCTTCTCCCCTTCTCTGTCTTTTTGTTTTTACCATTATGTTAGTCCAGTTAAAGATGAACTACCTGGTTCATGTTGAGGATTCGATTGATGCCTTGCCAGGAGCATCTCACGGTGTCATCTTGTTATCGCATCCGCTTATTTTCAAAATCATGCAGGTTGTGAACAGGAAAAATAATTTGGTATAGTCCAGCTGGTAACAGTTTTTCGAAGTGATTAATATTTCATCGCGAGCAAAGGGCAACTTGTTGCTGGGTATTAGAGACATTCGACAGTTCTTTGTCGGTCCTTACTTCACTGACATAATATTTTTTGGTTATAATGCTAATATTGTCGGACTCTTTGAGTGGTAGGAAAACGAATAAAAGAAAGTTTTTAAACAAGGAAACTAACTTTTTAACCATGTATGGATCAGGGTTTCATAGTTTTGATCATCTTATGTTTGTATATGTTTATATATGAAGAGGGTAATGATAATTAAGGATAAAAATAATATTTGAATGATATATGCAATATGATGAATCAAGAGTTACCATCCCCGCAGAGTTGGAGAGAACCGAAAAATGAAGTCAGAAATGAAGTTACTACTGTTTTAGTTTTCCACATTTCTGTATTTAGTAAATGATCAGTCAGAAACAGAAAACTGAAAGGCTTCTCCGAAAATAAGTAGGGGTGTAGTTGTAATGGAAGAAACTACTTCTGTCAGTGGAATAATGTATGAAGTTAATGGGATTCTCTGGTAGCTCTGTTTTAGCAAAAGAACCTGCCCTGTCTGCTAGGATCAATAGTATTTATTTGATCCTCTTTGTAAATTTCCTACTAGTCCTCGACATGGAAGCCCTCGCGCATATACCTTTCTTATCTAGTTCTTGGTGTAGAATATCTACGTTTTTTCCGATATCCCTTATACGATGGTGTCGTCAAGGGTGATCGTGGGTGCTCTCGATTAACTCTTTATTGGTTGCTGGGTGATTGACTGGTGGATGACGATCAAAATCTTTGAATACGTATATTTTGTGATGCAGTTGACAATCAAAATTCGCATCGAACAAGTAATTTTTTTTTTTTTTGATTTTATTTTTATATATGATCTTTTTTTATTCTTTTTCATAAGTGACTTTTATGATAACGAGTCTTTCTCTCACCGTAGAAAATTTTTTACTTTGACGCTTCGGCAATTGGCGTTAATAATAATATAAGTTTGAAATGATGAAAGGAAATAATAAAGAAGGTTAGAAGAAAATATGATATTATGCATTATTTACATATTATGCATTCTACTTTGTCTTTTTCTAACTCTTAGAATCATCTATAGCAATGAGTTGTTTTTTTTTTTTTATATTTTGTAATGATTTTCAAAGTCATCATTCTTGCAAGTTATGGTCTATGCTTATAATTGAATTCTTGTTATATTTTTAAAACTAGCCATTGAAGGGGGTCAAATCCACTATTTGAGCTCTCATTCTCAACAACCAAAAAAAAAAAAAAATTAATTATTCAATCGACGAACGGAATTGTATATGTAATCTTCATAAGATTAAATTTGTGTAACCGACCTCTTTCGTTATTTTGATTTATAAAAATTAAATAATTTTTATAATATAAATTCACTCGTACGGAAATTATTCAGAGTAAAATTTAAAATAGAAGTTTAATTCATTTCAAGATTTTTTTTTTTTGTTAGACATGATTTTCATAAATCAAAATATGATTTTTTTACTGATTCTTATTTGTTTGATAAAATTTTGTTAAAATGTACATTTGGGTTAAATCGAATTTGATAAAGAATTCAAACTCCTTCCCTGTTTGAAAACATGTCTGAGTTTGAACGGGATAACTCGGTAAATTTAATATAAATTAAAAAAAAAAAAATTCATGGTACAAATTTAATTTATTTATTTTTTTTTTATAGAAATGGGTTGATAAAACTCCCTATAAGATCGCTTTCTTTGTCATTACTAATTAATTTTTTTTTTAATTTAAATTACCTGTAATTAACACAAAAAGAGTTCAAAAGAGAAAACCAACAAGTTATATTTATAATTCATCCTTTTGTTTTTTTTTTTTTTGTGAGGAATTTAGATTGCATTCTTTGGTACACCGTATTGATTTCATTGTTTATTGGGTGATGTAATTGGCGGCTTGGGGAAGTGTGTAGTGGCCGCATTTACCTGAACAAGACGACAACCGTTGCTGAGCCAAAACGCAGGTACGAGCTCATAAATATAAAATCAAAATTATGTTCAAGAAGTAATTCTCATTAAAATTTTCAATTACAGCCATGGCAGCTACTACGACGAGAAAAACATTGTCGCAGTGTTTTCTGCGCACGTTTTGGAGGGGTAGTGCGCGAAATTATGGTGCTTTATCCGAAGGAGGAATAAACCCTTCTTCTTCTACTTCCTCTTCTCAGCACCTCATCAACTTGGAACATGAATTCAGTGCCCACAAGTAATCTCCCTCGCTCTTTAGTTGAAGAAAGTTTTTACCTTTCTTCAGTATTTTCAATCCATATTCATGTTTTCGCTTCCGGGTTTTTGCGTTTTTGTAGAACTGAATTCTCACTCTATCTGCTTCGGGTCTATTATCTTCTGGGTCTTTATCTGTTTGTAAAAATTTGATTTTTTTTTTTTTTTTTTTTCATGTTTTCGCTTCTGGGTTTTACTTGTTTTACCTGAATTCTCTCTCACCTGCTTCGTTTTTGATAGTCTCTGAATCTCACAATGATTTAGCAATCGTAATTGTGAAGACAAACACACTAGGAAGTAAATTAGTTTGACGTAGTATTTAAAAATCAATAGATTAAAAAAACCCAGTTTTTTTTTTTTTCAACTCATGTTGACAGAAATGAGAAAGTGGTTTTTATGGTAGTGTTTTTTAAACTTGACATAATCTATCCCGAGAATCGAGAAGATGTTTTGGTCCAGATTGGATGCTGAATTTTTATGTTGAGATTTGTGATTTTGGTTTTGTTGGGTGCTTATTTGAACCTTGTCACTGAATGATTTCTCTGAGTTATATGAATTAAGTTTGTTTGATGGTATCATGTGATAATCTGTTGCCAACTTTTTTAGTATTAAAATGCAGTTACCACCCTGTTCCGATTGTATTCTCTCAAGCAAAGGGATCTACTATATGGGATCCAGAGGGGAATCGATATTTGGATTTTCTCTCAGCTTACTCGGCGGTTAACCAGGTTACTGGCAGTACCACATGTTCATATTGAATCAATAGTGTCTCTTCTAATCATATCTTCTAGATTTATTTTATTTTCCTTCACAATAAGTTATATATGCAATCTAATGGTGGGGCCTTTTGACTTTGCAATTTCCTCCAGTTGTTCCAATGCAACCTCTATGTAAATAGAGTTGCAGTATGCATTAATAATGTTAGGGCAGGAATCATTTTTTTTTTCCTGAGAAAGATGTTTTGGCACTTCGTGCCTCTTTACATTTACCACATTATTGGACTTCATATCTTCTTACTGTAGGGACACTGTCATCCCAAGATCATGAAAGCAATGAAAGACCAGGCAGAAAGGCTCACTCTCAGCTCCAGAGCCTTCTATAATGATAAATTCCCGACATTTGCAGAGCATCTTACGAGCATATTTGGTTATGACATGGTGCTACCGATGAATACTGGTGCAGAAGGTGTGGAAACAGCTCTGAAGTTGGCAAGGAAATGGGGTTATGGAAAAAAATGTATTCCCAAAGATGAGGTAGAATCTGTAGAAAATTATGATTGTTGTGAAAAACTCTAGGAGGTTTATTTTCATTTTCCTGACAAATCTTTGTCAAGCCAGGGAATATTTAGACTATGCTTTCCTAAATAAGAGTTAGCTATGAAAAACACATGTATGCTTGATCCCCATGGAAAGGGAGAAAAGTGGCTACTTGTAGGTATACTCTCAACAGTTGTGAACTTGCTTTATCTGGAAATCATTATGGGTTATTACTCTCCTTGTAGATCCTATGATGAGATTAAATCTCCTATCCTACAGTTGCTTTAGCTATTAATTATACACGTAATCTCCTTTATCGTGCAACAGTGCTTGTGAATTTGGTTACCTAATACCAAGACATGAAATCTGGATCTCTTGAAATTCGTTAAGAGTCTTTGCAGCTAGAGGACAAATCTAGAGTTATAAATTATTGACTGCTGGTAGCCTTGTGATTTTTATATTTATGTATCAAACTTCATGAAGCTACTGCTATAAAGTGAAGATTGTTTGTAGGTTGCTTGACATTTAATTGTTACTCCTAAATTTACGCCTTGTTCCAGTAACATGTGGTGTATAGAAAGACTAGTTGGATGTGCTCTTCCATTCACTAGAACTGAACCATGTACAGGCTATTATTGTCTCTTGTTGTGGCTGCTTTCATGGTCGTACACTTGCTGTCATCTCCATGAGTTGTGACAATGATGCTACACGTGGATTTGGGCCATTGTTGCCAGGACATCTAAAAGTTGATTTCGGTGATGAAATTGCCCTTGAGAAAATCTTCAGAGGTTTGACTGTGTCCTTGCCTTTTATGATCTGTTTTTTTCATTGTGCCCAGAATTTACTTATTAGTCCTTTGCAGTGGAACATATTTTATACCCATTAACAACAATCTACAATGCTTTGAGATTAGCTGAGAAAAGTACATATAAAGTGGACTAAACTTTTTTCTACGTCATGAAATGCAGAAAATGGGGACCGAATAGCTGGATTTCTTTTTGAACCCATTCAAGGAGAGGCTGGGGTATGTCTATTTTTGCATGAATTGTTTGACCAATTTGAGGCTGTAAGATATGCTACATGGGTTTGGCTAGGTCTATATTGAAATGTTAGTTTGTCAAATTTATCTTGTTCCAAACTTATTTGTGAAATCAAGTGTTCTGATAATTTACCTATTTTTAATTAATGTATAACATAGCAGCAGTTCAGGAAATATGTCATAATTTTTAGTGATGTGGGAATAATATCTTTCTTTCCCTCCTAAGGGGCTGATGAATGCATTTGACAAGAC